TTTTAATAATGAAGTACTTCTGAGAATAGACTTCTGAGTTCTTAATGGAAATTATGGGCAAGCAAACCTACTCTTACACGAGTAATCATCAGGTGAGGTATTTGGTCAACCATCTCAGTTTATGGAGATTCACAATCTTGTCAGTCTGACGAACAAAACTTGAAGTTGATAGTTCGCCAAAAGCGTTGAGTCGACCAATAGTGTTCGTCGGTACGTTTTTCAGAGACAAAAACTGACATAAAATCTGTCGGTTTACAGAACTGAATGCTGCTTCAAGGTCGAAAAATACAACTATGTCTGAGAGTTAGGAGGTATTTCCATTCTAAATAATGATAAGCGATCTAGACTAGCCAGACAAGACTACTTACAGTTCGCATACTCTACTTGAAATCTACTTCAATTTAACAGCTAAAACTGGACAAATATCCTCAAAGACCTCAGGAGTTAATCCACTAGAGGCTGTTTCAGATTAGTTATTTAAGAGTTAAATTGATGGTGTAAATCGTGTATTACACACCAAGACTACTGTTTTCACTTTAACTGAACGAATTTCAGTCAAAGTACCACCAAGATTTTTTCAGAAGCAATTTTACATCTGCCCTTTTATTGAGTACATTTATTTTTTTGTTACACCTTTGAATTTGACAGTCCGCTGTTTCACCTTTTCTGGTTATCAGCTTTCTTGTCTAATTTCTTTGAAAACCACTGATTGATGACTGAACAGTACAAAAGAAGCAATTACCAATACCATGGCTATTGAAACATGTGGAAAGTGGCATGCAGTGTGATGAGTGCAAAGGATGGTACCATAAGGTTTTCAAGAATCTAACACTTGCGGCTTCTAAACATTTAAGTAAAAATGGATACGTCTGGTTGTGTTAGCAATGGTGCATAGACGCAAATAATGTGCTAATTGAAGCTACAGCAATGGTAAACACTGCTCGAAAGTATAATAACAAGATGAATTTAATGATAAATAATCTGTCGACACACGAATCGATGTAAAACCATTCCAAATAGGCTCAATGTCGATTGACTTACATATGCCAAAGGATGAACGACCCAATTAAAATAGTTCTGTCAGAAACTCAAGTAGGAGGTATCTTTTATCCCCATCATCCAAGTAACAGCAGTCAGAAAATGCTTAAAAAAACCAATCGTAAGACAAGATCTGTTTGTACCAGAAAAAATAACAACCTGAACACCCAAGTCATCAACAATCATCCAGTGTTTTACAGTTGTGAATGCTATTTCAGTGAAAGCTGATGAATGGGTCAGAATTAAGAATAAGAAACGACCAAGTACTAGTCTCCCCGTCAGTAGTTGAGAAATTGTAGAGTTACCATAGTGACAGATCACTTTTCTACCATAAAGCTAAAGAGAGAAATGCTCAGAACCCAGAACTCGCGTTGAGCATGACACTGATATTGATAAAAGATCTACTCAACCAGGTAATATATAAAGATATCTCTGGAGTTACCTTGCTGAATATTTGTAGATTAGGTAGCCAAACGGACTTGAAGGAAAACCAAACTAGTCTCCTAAAAGTGGTATTTAAATCTTCCAATGAAAAATACTTAGTATTACAGAATGGATATGAACTGAAGGGATCGGCAGATTCTTTCCCGTAAATGCTTGGCGCTTAACGACCAAATAAAAAGAGGAGAAGCTGAAAAGGAATTAGAACTAAGGTTATGCATTGGCGAGGACATTAGAATCGTAAATCTTTGATTAGTGAGGCTTCGGCAGAGAATGATCCCGAAGCCAACTTCGGTGCAGTACAAAGCCATTTAAATGGTCTTCGGATCTGTCCCAGTCCATGTCGTCTCATGGACTAGCAACGAAAGAGTAAAAAGCTACCAGTCAAGGACAAAGAAGGCAAGGCAGTTGTTATGGATGCAGAATAATGTGCCAATCATTATCATGTTAAGCCTAGTGATGTCCTTGGACGTTAAATGGACATTTCCTATTGGCCATTATTTATTTCATCCGTTAAATATTGTACAAATGTTGTTTTCTATTTTTATGGTACGATGTGGTATGTTTGGTTAGTATATAAATAGAGTATGTCTGAAATACAATGATTCATATCTCAGAGGTTGTGACTTGTGTTCTGGACTCAACTGACTGGGCTAGACAGGGAAGCGAGGACCAATCGAGACTCTAGGCCGTCCGTACGTGTTTACGTGTCATTGGATCGATTGATAAATACGCTGCTCTCTAATTTTTCTAGTCAAGGACACAACAATTAGCACAGGGTAAAAATCGACCCAATTTAAAGTCATAACAGCAGTAAGTGAGATTGAAGTACAGAAAAACAGGTAGGTAGAGCACCTTGAAGAACTCATGAATAGTTCAGTACACTGACCACACCGGACATCGAAGCAGTACATACAGACCTTCCTAAAGGTATCACTCCACCAACAGCCCTAAAAAAAATCAAGAGTGGGAGAGCAGTAGGACCTGACAGTACGTCAGCTGAAGCACTGAAATCAGACGTAGAAGAAACTTTAAAGATGCTCCACGTTCTATTAAGGAAGATTTTGAAGGAGGAACAAGTGACGACGGACAGGAAAGAAGAATACTTCATCAATAAACCAAAGAAGGGAGATCTGAGCAAGTGTGAAAAATACAGGGGCACCAAACTAATATCGGTACCAGGAAGATTTTCCAACAGTGTTGTTGAACCGGATGAAAGTTTCAGTATACGTCCAACTTTGAGCTAGTGATACTACCCATTTGGCTAAACAGAAGTACACAGAGAAGAGTTCAAACCTGAAGCTTAGGGGACAAAAGTCGAACGCCTTAACAAGTGAGATCGATGTTAAATGAAAAGGAGAAACTGGCGTTAATTACAGCTCACAGTTGAAAATAGTGATTGGTGATCAAAAGATGTTTGGTCACTTTGTTACGGATGTACACTGACAGAATTCGGATATTAGTTTTTTTTGAAGAACTTTCCATTATGGTGATAAATTAGATGGTGTAAGATAACGACATAATTTTATTTTAAGTCACTACTTGTTCAGTGTTCAAACAATCAAGAGCTGTATAGCATTAAAAAAAATTATTTTTACGGTTTCTGATCAGTAAGTACTTTGCAGACATTTTACTTATACATGTTATATTTCCGTAAAGTACGTAGTTGGATTAACAATATTGTCGTAATCAATAGCGAGAGGTTCACGATGGGTCTATTAGCCTTTAAACGAAATACAGGAAGTGAGAAAAATACTTGATAATTAAGCATGTACATGAGGATGCATTTTATACGTCTAAATGTGAATACTTTTAGAATAAAGTACTGATACATTCTAGTTATGTTGTGAATGCTTAAAAGTTTTATAGAAAAAATTAGAAATGACTTCACAAAAATACTATATCTGGCCCAATTAGTTATTAGCTTTATTAGGAAATAAAACAAGGGAAAAAATGATTCTTTGAATTAAGTCTTTCATTTCAACGGGAATGAACAGTCAATTACTCATTGCAAATAATTATTTTAATTAATCGTGTGTTTTTAGCTTTATTCACATCATGCACGACATTAATTGGGTAGATTGTTAGTGGACAGATAAAATTATGTTGACGATAACTTCATATGCTAATTTGTCAAAAGATCGAGTATATGCATGCAGATCTAATCATTGTAATATTTTCGGTGGTCATGCACAGAAGTTTGATATACATTGGAAATATCATGTAAAACATTGTAACACTGGGAATACATTCAAAATTTACAAAAACTTGTTTTATATTCAACTAATTGAAAAGGAATCTTAAAATAACGTGACAATATACTAGAGATAGAATCATATTGAAGGGCAAGAGAACTAAAAATTAATAGCGAAATTTATTTCTAAGTAGGTAGTAATTAACAAATTACAATTCACATGTGAGAAGTGACATATTTTTATCGGTTTATTTTACGTTAGGTTAGATAGGTAAACAGCAATTCTTTATGTAAAGTTTGATGAAAACTGACGTATTCTCCTAAAATTGTGATATCTGAATTTCGGTGAGCATATGTGATCACGATTACTGCAAGCCCCAAGTGTTGTCGATAACACAGGACATTGTGTAAGCTTAAACTGACAGGGATTAGAATGCGTAAAACCGATTTCGTGATAATACTACGTTTTCGATTAAAGTAGTCAATGAAAACAGATACTTTGTAAATACCTTTAACGCCTGGATGGAAATACTTAATTTGTTTAATAGAGCATATTGCTTAATTAGAAAAACAACGTTTAAATTAAATATAATACTTAATGAACCATTAAAAAAACATATTGGAACCTCATTATTATTCGTGGTCAGGTTATTAAGACTATCATAATAGATAAAAATCATTAGATAAATAGATAATAGGTAAGATGTAATTAACAAAACAGATCATACTAGTAATAATTAAACAACAGATGACGTTGTATGTTAAAACCCATTATTCATGATTGAATTAACCCTAATTACATTTGTTGAACTTGAATGATCGTTAAATAACAACAGTTCACTAACTCATTATTCAATCTCATTTTACCATATTATAGTACAACAGACGTAAAAATGATCTACACTTCTTAAGAAAGATATTATGGAGAAGAGCGCAGTCAGGTAAAAATAATGTGGAAAATAATCATTCCACGCTGAAAAATTTACTGAGCAACAATAACTGTTAAGTATTCATAACCTCTATTGTATCATGGGAGATAAGACAAACAGCACATGCAGTAAAGTTTACAGAACAATATAAACAGTATACAATGATGCACGGATGTTTGTTCCGTTATTATGTTAACTTCTGTAATGAAAAATATATTTTGTTGAAAACAAAAGTAGGCACGTCAAATGAACAGTTACAAACTAGGGATTTATAAACAACTACAAGCGAAAGACAATACGTGTGAAACAGAAGATTTAACGTGCATCAACTTGTTCCTCATCTTTCATAAGAAAAAAAAGTTAAGTAACCTAACACCACCTAGCTTATGTTTACTCACTTTCAACAGAGCACTCTGCTTTGACAATGGTACTACATGCCAATAATTCTTAAAATAAAAAAGAAATCAAATTGGAAGCAAAGAAATAAAACTTCGTATTAGCGAAAACTAATCAGTTTTGTTCGTTCAATTCCAATTCAACAACCAATCATACAGACAAACCGATAGATTAAGTATAAAGTCGGCCTATCATGAACTTTGTAATCACTGATCAATATTATTTGGGTTACATAATCAATTTTTAATAAAACTATTAGTAACTACAGTCACATTTCGCCAACTTTGCATCGCCAGTATTTTTTAGCATATGACTCAATTTCAAGTATGCTTAATGTTATACTCTGTTTCTTCTTAATACTATGATTATTTGTCCTGTTTGGAGAATCCATGCTAAATTCACTGGTCAGAATTCATCAACTCATTGTTCTTAATCAGATTATTCTTTTTTAATTTAAGCTGCCTGCAACTTATGACAAACCTTGAAATAGAATTAATTTATTTTATTCTGCAAATCTTTGTTTGCGTTCAAATTGACAACTACAATCAATGACAATAATGGAATTAATATACATTCAAATGGAGATTTCAGAAGTTATACATATCTAATAGAACTAACTTTTTATATCAGCTGAGTCCTCCATTACTGCAGTAGAACTGTCAGATGATTCTTTAATACCATCATTAGACTTCTTAGTTACAGAAGTATGACTTCCTGGAACGGTACCCCGACCAGCTATAAAGAGCATAAATCAACAAAATACAAAGTAAAATTCTACGGAAAATACCTAATAATACAGTTGGAAGAAAACTAAATATTACAACATGGAAACTAGACATGAAAAAGTTTATTTTTGGATGTGATTAAACAAATAGAAAACAGAAACTACGCAAAACGGCATACATGATACACATTGACTGATAACTGTTAAGTACTAGCTAGTGATGGGTAAGTTACAAAGATACTCATAGATAACTGTACACCGTACGAATAACACGAATTTTTATACAAAACAATGGTAAATAATTTAGAATCCAGTTAGTTTTGAAGCGAAAAAAAAGACTCAGCTTTCCCGTTTTTAGAAAACCATTATCGACAAACTACATTTAAATGGAAAATATAATTAACAACACCAATTTCAAATGACAACACTGAACGTTTAACCTAGCGAGACTTGATCGTGAAAAACAGTTAGCGTATTTATTTTACAAATATTTCTGAAGGAGTTATCCAATAATATATATATATATATATATATATATATATATATATATATATATATATATATATATATATATATATATATATATATATATATATATATATATATATATATATATAGTTCACGATTTTGTATGTACACTATGAAACCACTTACGTAAACAGCCATGCAACCAAAATTAACAAAAGTGCATATGAAAACAAATGCGTTGATATCGAAAAAAAACTTACAACTGTCATCCTTTTTCACTATAGATTCATATAAAAAACAGGCAAACAGGCAAAACATGCAAAAACACAATAGAAAACAAATCAAATGAGACGTGATATAATAAATCTGATTGTGGTAAATAAAACTACATGCAAATAACATTTTAATGAATTCAAACACCCAACAATACAAGTATACTTTAATAATAAATGCATAGAGGCATGAAATGGATTCGAAGAGGTCAAAAATATATTATGAGACCAACATTTAGCTATCAGTATTTGAAAAGTGAACTTACTAGAAAAATTGCGTGTGGCTAGCATAGTCGTAAGTATAGCACCCTAAAAACGAAAAAAAAAAACAGAAACCAGGAAACTGTTAAATGGGTAGATAACCATATTTGTTTAAAGCATGCACACACGTAAATGTGCCAATTATCAACACTCTGAAAAACGATTAATAAGTTTTACCATTGAGTTCAATCTAACGTAGACAGTGAGAATAAAACGCGTTGTAACTACTTATTAAGGAGAAATTTTAGATGAAAAAGCTATTACTACAATTCAAATACAGATGGGTTAAGTAAATAGAGAACAAAAGAATTACTCAAGATGATGAGATATAATAAATATAGATAGTTATTCATCAAGTACATGCAATAAGCTCAGTAAATGATTATGGTGGTCGAACACGAGCCTTATAATTGAGGTCAGATGACTCTATGTAATATTACATCTAGTCAATTAAAAACTAGTTAAGAATATCTTGGTTTGAAGATTGAACATGACAAACAAGCAAAATACTGACTGAACAAATACAATTACATTTCATTTTTTATTGAAGATTTCGGTAGTAAAAGTAATCAATAAGTCAGTATAAAATTTGATAACATGAAACTGCACACGCAATATAAAGTGTAAGGTTTTGTTTAGACTATAAATACTATTAGTTCATATAATGTATCTTTAAGCATTCTATGATAGGGTACCATCAAAAGAGAAGAAACAAACAAAAGTGGTGATAATCTAAGAATTCAATTATCATTGAATAAAGTAAAATAAATTTGAGCCATCGAATGCTTAAGAGAATCGCAGTATAGTTAAAAAAATAGTAGTATTAAACTCATTTTAATTCAGTAAATGGATTTGTGACAGTTATAACAAGAATACCTGATTGAGAGTCTAATAAATACCAAATTAATAGTTATATGTAACTAATCAGAACATTTATATATGCTGGTCACTCCACACAACACGGAATATAGTTGCATAAAGCTTTTATGATGGGAATCTTCAACGAGCGTTGTTATTCGAAATATGACAGGAAAATATTCTCTTGTTAGGCAATAAGCATTCTTGAGGCAACGTAACATTTGATTTGACACATTCTATCTGATCACCAACTCTTACTTAGATTCCTACGCGGCCCTTGAAATGTACAGGTTTAGTAAGCCCAACCAATTATTTATGCCACTTAAATATCGTGGTAAATTAAGACACCTAGACAAACGTTACTTCGAATCAAACGACTTCATGACAGTTGCAAAAATAACTAACTAATTAGTTTACGTAAATGATATTCGCGACTGCTTCTGTATGGGCAAGCCTCTTCCATAATAAGGTGACCTTAAAGTGATGTATTCATTTTATCCTCATGAGCCGAGCAATACGCCAAGTTGCATCAGTATGGAGCTCAGCAAGTTGGTCCAGTGATACTCAAAATGGCATTTGGAGCTTAACAAGACCAAATTTAGATGTATATACTTTGGCAATACTTCACTAAACCTCGACATTACCATAAAAAGTAAGGTGTTATACATGTTACATGGAGTAGTGGATCTAGGACTCAGGTATTCATACAATTTGTCCTTCTCAGAACAGGTCTCGAAACAGACCTCCAAGTCCCGACATCTTCTGCGTTGCATAATTTGTAATCTCTGTAACGAGTCACGTATTTTAATGTGCAAATACGTGTTCGACTAATCCCAGAATACTGCACGTTTGTTATTATTCGTATTGTTCACATAGAGGATAAATTAAGGTTGGAATCCGTTCAGAGGTGATTAGTATATCGCATTCTTGGGATCGTTGTACTTTATTTATAAGTCCAGATGTAATAAATTTGGACTCGATCATTAGTAGAAAAAGAGACTTAACTCAAAACTTACCTTTATCTTTAAAATATTTAATAAACTATCTTTTAAATCTAATGAAGCATTTTAATATGCAGAATCTTCTGATTACAGAATCTGTGTAATTAGTGAAACCATCTTATTCTAAATCTTCTCTCCATATGAATTACATTATCAGTAAATTTTTTACTCTGGAAAATTTTACCACAATCTGCCCTTAAAATAAAAAGTCAATCCCATTTATTGTTCAATGCATCGATGCTTACTTCTCCTCTGGAAATGCTTGAAACTTGTTTACATCTGTAAGTATATCCCATACCACAAGTGAGATTATAGGAAACTTAAATGTTTAGTCGTTATTACAAGCTGATGTTACTTCACACTTAAATCTGGCTGACTGACCTATCGTAGTAAACATTACATTTGTTGTTCCGTGCTTTCTGCTTGCGTTTTATTTTCTAGTTGTAGATGATTACAATCAATTCGTTATAGGGTGGGAAATGATTTTAAATACACCGTCCATACATCAACAGAAGGTCTACTTAAAAAGAATTAAATGCTACCGGCTGAAGACTTTCATTGCTGTAATACATGTGAAAAATGTACTACGTAAACAATTTTTGAACTAGAAAACTTAAAACAATCTAATATTCCATATATCTTCTACATTTAATAGTACTATCTATATCAAACTGATCATGCCTGTAAACTGGCATGAATTCTGTAATTATTATTTTTAGAATATATTATTATTATTATTATTATTTGATGGAAATTGTTAACCAGTGAATTCACCCCAAAAAACACAGATGTCAATGGTTCGGAAACTATAAATGCGTGAAGTGCATATTGAGTAATGTATGTGTGACGCTTATGCTTAATGAACACTATCCAGAGAAATGAAGGATAATTGTGTCCGGTTGGTGTATGTAGGTTTATCACAATTCCGTTGATACAACCAGTTGAACTACATTTATGCCCCCAGTGCACCAAGCTTAAACAAATAAACATTTGGTCGAAATGAAGCAGCAACTCTTCGGTTATACTTATTAGATGGTTATCACATGCACGAAAATCCAAAAACAACTTTAAACTGGATAGAAAAATTGCATTAGAAATATCTCAGAGGTTATAGCTCTGTACAGACATGAACAAGAACTTATGAGGCAAGCATATTCACAGTTTAAGTAAAGTACTATGCAATTAGATTGATAGGAAAAACATACCTTCAATTTACGTCGTGCATTGAATTTCTTTAAGCACTCCACCGTCTCCTGACGATGCACAAGGAAGCGACACGTTCTCGTTGCTATCAAGGAAAGAAATTAGAATTCGATAAGTTGGTTGACAGAGACGGGACGTAAAAGCGATACGAAGTAGTACTATACAAATCATCAGTGGGGTTAATGGGTTAATTAAAAATGATCTCCTTATTATTGTCATTCAGTACATTCGGAGATAAGTGGCAAATTTTTAGATAATCGGACTAGCAATTCCAGAATAATTCGTGAAGATGGGTTTAAAGATATGGTAGGAATCCAGTTATATATACTTTACTCATTACAAAAGATTGTTTGTTAGGTTCCATTTTACTTTAGCAAAGTTACTAACAAATAAGACAGACCAAAAAAGCTAAATTTAGGCATCAAGTTAGAGTATTACTATACCGTAACTTATTTGGCCGATTTATTCGTCATAAAAATTGAGAAAACGACACCGTGAATCTTTGTCTTCGCGTACTTGATGTACTCACCTAAAGAAACCAATTACCCAGACCTTTTTGAAATACATTCTTCATAGATTTGAAAGTCTTAAAAATGACGAGTCAATGGCCCAAGCTTTATATATATATATATATATATATATATATAAATGTATCTTTAAGCATTCCATGATAGGGCACCATCAAAAGAAAAGAAACAAACAAAAGTGGTGATAATCTAAGAATTCAATTATTAAAACACAACAATATATATGTAGGATAGTCAAATTTTTGAATACACCAAAGGTAACATAATCTGTGGTTAATAGGTGATGAGTTAGGAAAAACAACGCAACCTTCTCGGGTTGTGTAAGTGTTAGTTCAACGGAACATTATTAACATGTTGTAAATTAAGACTTTATATTAGTGTGAAATCGTATTGTTTCAAAAAATTCCTGTTAAGGCGTGTACGCGCGCGTAAGAGATAAGAAAACAATGTATAAATATAGACGTAACCAGAGTAGAGAAGATTTACGCATAAAATGTGACAATCATGTGATGTACTACAAAGTAAATAAATCAATTCTAACATTAATATTTAAAAAAGCTAATCATTAATAGTTTAGCGCCTTAGACATAATACAGCATATAACCATTCTCCAGTTGGTTTGTAAACACTTTTAAAACCGCTGATAGAAAGGTATAACATGTATGACACGTTCATATGAATGAATTTATTTATAAGGTTTGATGTTTGTGGCTTGGAGGTAATGCTACGCAAGTGAAGATATCCTAGTAAGGATTGTCAGAATATTATAAAAAGTCAAGTATAAGTACGATAAGAATGTTGAGAAATAGGGTTACATTTGTGAGCTGATATATATATATATATATATATATATATATATATATATATAGTTATTTTGGAAAGACAATATAATTATGAGCTGATTGGATTACGTGAAAGAGTGCAACAATGATAAACGAATCTAATACAATTCACATGTACAAAACAATTGATTTGTAATTATTTATCAGTACAATTTATTAGCTAGTACGAATCTCATTGAGGATACTTAAACCTTGATGTGTTAGGTTTAATTTCTTCACAATTTACCAAGCCACTCAATGGACTTGAACAGGAATTTACTACCACACACGAACGAGTCATAGATGCGATCTAAATGTTTTTTTTTAGCGCAAGCAAACAATCATTAGGAAATCTGAATTTTCTCGGATTATCGGGCTTTAGAATATATTTTGTCTGAAAATACGAAAGTTTCGATGATTCAAATTCACTACGAGATAAGCAATTAATTAGCCATTTATTTATTTGAACACATAAATATTGGTAAAAAGGGTCACCGAATACATGTGCGCCACACAATACACCTGATTCGTGTGTATGCTGTGGTACTGACCTGGTGCCGAGGCCGAAGCAGCTGGTTTTCCACTATATTGATAGTGGAGTATGTTAAATTTATATGTATATTTAATTGAAAAGCACAACGCGTGACTTAATAGTTTCAAACAGTTAACGCTTAGTTAGCATATCTCGTGAGTGTTGTTTAAGAAATCGAGAGGACGAGAAGCGAATCTCCAGCGCTTTGACCGGACCGGTGAGTTCAAATAGTGAGTTGGGAAACCCTGATACCAAACCAATGGTGCACATAGGCTCCAGTATCCTGGAGGAACAAATGACGTATGAACCAATCGTTGGTCACCGGCTACCATGGGACTGTATCTCCTTACGATGCTCCACCGCCTTGTGGATCAGGACCTTTAGGTCGAAGGCTCCCTGTGTGGCCCCCTAAGAAAACCACTTGCTTCGGTTTGGGCACCAGGGCAGTACCACAGCCTACACACAAATCAAGTGACTTGTGTGGCGCATATGTACTCGGTGACCCTTTGTACCAATATTTATGTGTACAAATAGATATTTAAGCCCATCGGTCTACTCCGAGTGACCATGAGCTCGACCATAAACGAAAACTGTTACGTAATCAAATTGGGCCGAGAAGCCTGGTTGTCGGAGCGTGCCAATGAGTTGTAGGCAGCAGCTGCATTAGGTAATTGCTGGAAGCTCTTTCAACTCTTCCGAGCCACTGGCAGCAAGAGGTCTGGTGTGGGCGGAACAATCTGTGATGACTGGATGCCAGTCAATAACATCTATCGACGTCTTGAACGACGAGCAGCTCAACTGGTCTGCTGCCCCGGCAACATCGATTAGACTGACCTACCCTGGCCTGTGACGACCGATTCACCTAACAAGGCGGAAGTCCGTAAGGAACTTCAACTCTTGAAGCACCACAAATCGCCAGGACCATATGACCTATCTCCGGCCCTTTTTAAAGATGGTGGAGACCTTCTGGTTAAGGAACTGACTACGTTGTTTACAAACGTTTGACATTTAGAGTGTTCCAACGTCATGGAATGAGTCGATAACTGTCTCTATCTTTAAAAACGGTTCGTCTTTTCTATGACAACTATTGAGGAATAAGTCTACTATGATTGCGTCCAAACTTTTGGCTTCCATCATACTTCGTAGGTTGTTCAAAACCCGAGAAAGATTGACTCGCGAGGAGCAAACTGGTTTTCGTTTTGGTCGAGGATTTAGGCCAGTTTCATATCTTCACCCTCCGCCAAAACGTTACAACACCGTCATACGTATCACGGGCCAACAATTGTCATGTTTCTTGACATCAAGGCCGCCTTCGATTTGTTGGACAAGATTGTTCTCTGGGATAGTCTGTTGAATAAGTGTGTGCCTGAGAAGTTTATTAACATCTTAAAAGCATTATATACAAACACTTCTCTCCATTGTTCCATTCAAGTAGTGGGGTTAGACAGGATTGCCACTATTCCTCTTTAACTTTGCTATCGATGATATTCTGGAAACAGCTCTGATGGATGTAAGTAATGGCGATGTGGATCTGTTCCCTGAAGAAAGACTTCTCGACCTTGAGTATGTGGATGGTATTATCTTACTGTGCAATAATGCCCAAGCCATGCAATCCGCACTTAATCAGTTGGCAATTAGTGTGCGTAGGTATGGTATGTGCTTTGAACCTTCCATATGCAAAGTATTTTTACAAGACTGACAGGAACCCGATCCTGCACTTCTTTAATTGGGAGAATTATTTCTGGTTGTACGTTTGCCAACTGAACTGCTTTTTCCATTATCACTCCACTATCGTACACAAATTTCTGTTCGCTATTGTTCCCCTTTTTCTTATATGCACCTTACATTATCTATTCATATTCTCAATGTTATCACAGCCCAAACACAAATTAAGTGACTTGTATGGCGCATATGTATTTAGTGCTCCTTTGTAACAATATTTATGTGTTCAAATTAATAAATAAATGAGATAGTGAACTTATAATCAATTTTTAAAGTTCAATTATAGACATTCCTCCTGACTCATGACAAGACGCTGCTGTTCCATAAAACAGACTTCTAAAATCTTACACAAAAATGTGGCTTAGTTTAGTTTATGTATCCTAAATCGCATTGAAAAACTCTTGGTAAAACTACCAACTACGCCATTGTGATCGATTCTGAGCCATGTCACCCAGAGTCTCCAACTATTAGTTAAGATAGTCGCGCGGACCCCAACCAAGTAGTCTGCATCTACCAATGTGGCTCAGACTAGAAGTTAGTGACTTCAAGGACTGACGCCACGTTTTGGCTTGGCCTCCTTTGATTTTCTTCATACCATACCTAACAGTAGTCAGGATTGCTCGTCGTGGTAATCGGCCTTCAGGTATACATAACATTTAGTTCATCCATCTCAGTCGACGAAGATTCACAACTTAACCTAATACCCTGTATCTAACCTCACTATTATTTACCCGGCGATCCCAGATGTGAACAATATTTCTAAGACATCTGTAATCAAATACTATCGGAGTCTAGACATATATTCTTTAACGAGCGGCAGTCTTTTATCGGGCTTCTCCAACGATGACTGATGGCAACATGATCTATTTCAGTCCATTGTTTCAATCTTATTAATAAAGTTTAACATTTTCCACAAGTGTATATCATTCACTCATGTAGCGAGAAGATATATAAGAATATAAATTCATATTAGTGGATTTGTTCTGAGTTCCTACATGTTAATAATAACTTGTTTGTAACTCATTCACCAGGTACTTGGGTATGAGTAACACTGAGTATGGGTGTTAATCATCCTATCCCGTTTCCCAAACAAAGTTGGACAGGGTTCGAACGTGGGAATTAGTGGTCGAAAGTTGAATGTCTTAATCAATAAGCCACTGATTCACTTTCAAGTTTCGTGTCAAGAGTGAAACCGACACCTACAGACTATTATACAAACAAAGACTAAGTATGAATATTCATCACACAGATTAGTGAAAAATTCCATAAAAATCAACTGTTATAAAACAAAAATATGAGCAAGTGAATTCAATGTAATCAAAAGAAGGATAAAATCTCGTAAATAACTTTCTCTTTCCCATTCCTTTATCCACTTCACACTCCCTTAATTTTGTCCCAATCAAAACACTCGTATGTAAATAGTATAGAAATAAGCAGAGGATAAAACAATCTAGTCGATATTGAGGTCATGGCCAAGCTTCCATTTAACAACAAAACCCATAGTAATAATAATAATAGAAACAATGACACTGATAATGATGAGCATAGGTTGAAGTGAATGGGCTATCGATCTGATCCAAGGAAAGTGATTGAATTATATCGAAATGTCATCACGGGTTTTATTGCTTTTTAACTGTTCCACATCAAAACAACATAAGTGTTCTTATCTGTTCGTAAATTCATCAAACATGAAGATGAATGATGGTTGTTTTGGTATATACTAGAAAAACAAATACTAATTATAGAATTTTCTCTTGTCAAATAATGATATGATGAAGAGGAGCTATGTGAACTGGGTGCAGAATTCTGATCAAATATATAATTAAACACCAAATTATTATCCAAGTTAAAGAACAAAAATGTGATCATTTAAATTTAAATGGAAACTGTTGAATTAATCTAAGGAAAAAGAAGAAATAATTTACCAAAAACTTCAAACGCACTAGTATTTATAACGCGCATGGTGTCAAAGCGAATGATCATGTTAGTTTTGGTAAACACACAGAAGCAAACAAAAGTATAGAATTTTATTACTCATAAAAATTATTATAGGAAAGTCATGAAACAGTTATATCATGGTATAAAAAAGCGAATAAACGTTCTTTCACTGAACCAAAAAACCGTATTCCATCTTCCAGTATTTAAAACAAATAAAAATAACATTAACTTGATAAACTTTATATTGAAGAATGACAGCATTAGTGTGGTAAATGATTGACTTTCAGTACAAACTAAGAATGATATTTTAGTGGTAGAAATTATCAAGAGGTCCGGATTGTTTTTAAATGGGATCAACTTTCAGAAACTCAGTAGCACAAAACAAATTAAACAATAAGTAGGATGAACAGTGGCTTTTCCTCAATGTACTAAGGATGACAGAGTAAATCTAGGTGGATTTTCGTGTAGTACAAATTATACAAATTCCAATCATAACAGTTGATGCATAGCCTTTATGTAAATAAATCTACTTGTTTCACAAAACGGAAGCTTACAATCGTCTGCTGTGTTCTATCGTTAATAACTGTTAAGGAGTATCATGAAAGGACAGAGCAAATTGTTAAGTTTTGTGAACATTTCTGTATCTCCCTCGAGAACAGATGGGAAGACCATAGGCTAAACAAATCTATTATCAAAGTAATGATTTGTGCGAAGCAAAAGAAACTGAAACGAAAACTAGAATAATACGAAATCACGTGACACCAGAGATCGTGTTAAATTCCTTTTTTTTAACGTAAGAGCATGTAATCCATTATTTAATGCCGAAAAGTAATGACATTTTAAAATATATGTTAATTGGAGCTTACATCTAAGGTCTGGAATGTGAAATTAATTAAAGATAAAAACGAGAGTGAAATCTTTGGTAAACAACAAGCGGCAAAGGACAATAAATTTAAAATAAAACGATCAATGAAAGAAAAAGACTTTTCATCTACTTTATCGTCGTTCGCAAATACTATGACTAAGAAAGGGACAAATTACTCGATTATGAAAGAAGTATTAGGTATTAATATCAGATAGCATTGTTTGACTACAAAGGATACATGGATATCCATGAGAAATACTTCAACACGGATACAATATAACGATTAGAAATAATATAATTGTATGCATATATTATGCAATAATGTGAAGTGCAGAGCATATTTGTTCTAGTAACACGGCTATTTGAAGTATTTATAGGAAAGCCTTTTGCATAAATATAATTAAACACAAATATATGTGATTCAGAATCTCTTGTGGTAGAAAACAGGTCCTCACTACTCTGAGAATTAATTACACAATTTAACTGGTTCACAGTTGGAGTGATTACCTCTAGTGAGATATAACAAAAAAAGAAGAATCTCAACATAGAGAAATATTATTTTAGAAATATATATTCACTCGAAAATCAGCGAAACTAAGTTTGAAATCGTTAACGTAAAGCCAGTGTATCCAAAATGAAATCGCTTAGTACCAAGACAATTTGATGGGGATACTAATTAAAGTGTGTGAAATTGGATCTGCGCGCGATGTATTGGCGGACAATGTTTGCATAGTATGATTTTAGCTTTCGAAACATGCATACTAACGGTTAGTACTGTTGGATCTACGCTCAAACAGCTATTGAAATGTAGGAACTCGGGAAATTTTCATAAGAAGGAAGAAAGTTACCTAAACAAGTTTCGTGAGGATCTTGTGTGAGTGATGAAAATTAAACATTAACGTTTTTAGCACTTTTATTAAATATTTCATGGTATAAAAATTCCTTACGGTGGATTTACATAAATAAACAGTTGCCTATATGTATCAGATATAACGTCATAGTCACTATGATATTAAATACAAATAAGCAGTGAATCTTACTAAATGATTGCAAACTAAGATAGTAGTACGCAGGTACCATTGAAAACTATTGATTACAATGAGCTGATTTACTGCCCTTGTTATAATACGTTAAGGTTTTAAGACTAAACAAGAACCAAATACAAAAACAAACAATTTAAATTCTACTAAACATCTGTTTTCATAACGTACACAAATCCATGGATGTTTGAGGGCTTCTGCAGCTGTGATTCGCCTTGCAGGACTGACTGTTAGCATTAGGTTGATTAAATTCTTAGCTTCAGGGGTAACTGTATCCCATTCTGGTGAAGGATACTGAAAAAATACAAAGAGATTGAAGGACAAAAAACAATTTTATAAACAAAACATTTTTATGAAATAAAAATTAGAAAACTGGAAAAACACATCTACTTACAGAATGGGATATTGAGATTTTCAAGGAAACTACTAGTGCTTAATGTGAATCTATATTTTACAGATAAGATTGTCGTTTGTAGAATTAAAGAGGAGGTAAACAGCATGGGTGAGGTAAGGTAGAGGAGTATTTCCAATATACACCATGGGAAATTACTCAAACTATTTCTTTCAATAGAAAGTAACACCATCTAAAAATGGTGAAAGACCAATATCTATAAATAAGCGGTGATTAAGAACATTTTGAGTGATCCCTACAAATAGTACGAAATTAGACATAAACCGATTATTAGTATACTTAGATTGTGATCAGCAGTGAAATCTAGGATGTGCACTTCGTTTAAAAAGATGCAAATTTTTCGTTAAAATAAATACCTAGCTTCCAATATTTTTCTCAGTTTAAAGAACAATATTGCTTTTATCCATAAAGATAGCGAAAGAACTCCCAAGAAGGCATTTTGTCTTGATATCAGTTGGGGTGACACGAATACATTAGTTCATCATATTCTTCTAGATCTTCGGTTTTAATACTATCCTATGCTTCTTATCATTGGATTTCATTTATCCTTTTCAATGTCCTATATGTTTGAACTTTCACTATCACTGTTACTATAACTATTTGGGCTTTTTCTTATTTTCATTTCGAAAGCTTTTTTAGCTGTGTTGATGTGGGACGGATGACTCATGAACTAATGTGAGCGGTGACCCGGGTGTTCGAGATCGGGCTAATCACCCACTCGACCGATACCCTCAAATCGATTACGAACCCCACAAAGAAACACAGCACAATTACTCTTGGATAGAAAAACGACGAAAAATTGGCAAAACTGGTGCATGTAATGTACGGGGTCGCTCCACACGGGCAAACTCCAACTGGTTGCAAAAACAGCTATTCTAGCCCCGGTAGTTGTGCCGTGCTTTGATGTGACCTGTTTCTCGCTAGAAGGGCCTACTAGGCTTCACCAACCAACTTGTTTTTTTTATGTGAAGTGTGAGAACTTCGACAGACATACATTTGTGTCAGGTCCTATTTAGAGGCAATATTCATAACATTTAGTGATTAGTAACAGAAAATTGTTATAGTACAATGAGTTATTCACGTCTCTTGATAACACGTATATAATCCATTATTTTAACACGAAATAACAATTGGCTTCTATCAATATTTCAAACATGATTTTAGCCTAATGTAGCTACCTTTCTCACTTTTTTAGACCAAATAATCATTCTCCTATATTTTTTAATTGAGCATCTGTCAAGAAATAAGCATCATAACTTATTCAAACTCAAAAACCGTATTTCTAATGAAGATTTAAATAGTAAATCAAGGTACAATATAGACTAAATTACATGTAATATTTACCTAATTAGTCGTCACATGGTGCAAAGATAGGAACCAAAAAAATAATAAAATTGATAAAAAGTAACATATTTTTATTTACGTACATCATATGCTCCCGATTTGATTTGACTGTACAATCGATTTTGATCTTCGTCCCAGAATGGTGGATATCCAACAAGAAGGATGTAAAGAATAACACCTGGGAATTGAAAACATTACGAATTTAAGAGTACTTTTTAAGTGAGCAGAGGTGCTTGATAATCCTTTTTTCAATTAACAGATACAAGGTTAATTGGGATCATATATATTCAGTGATTTGTTTGTTAAAACATAAAACTGACTCGGCAGGAGTAATAAAAATACATACTTGGTTCGACAAAATTTTTAGCGTAAACAATTTGAATGAAAATGATTTTATAATCATAATTTGTGGGTAAGTGATTTTAATTGCGAGTGTTACATTAATCGTCAATAAAATATTAGCATTTCACTAGAAACTGAGAATCGAAATAAGACTGATGACTCAATAGAAAGGGAATGTGAGGTAACTGGATTTTTCTAAGTAACACTATATACTACGGTTGTTTTATGGACTGGCAGAACTATTTTCATACAAAAACAATACGAAGATGCTTACTAACCGAAAGACCGACTCAGAATTTACAAGAATTCAGTTGTTTACACCTTAAGCTTATTTATCACTATCCCTAAAACTTTTGAATGTTCGGGTGAGATCCGGTATGTTAATGATAAGCGATATAAGCTAGGACAGGAAGTCAGAAATGTTGTGCTGGAACAACGCTAAGTGCAAGCTATTCCTTAAATAATTATAAAAACAGGTTACGCGTCTTGATACGAGATATAAATCAGTTAGAAAATAGATAAACAAATACGTTTACAAGAATGCTAAGATAACTGTGAATAATTACTTCTTACACATATATTTGACTACAGGAAGTAATTCGGCTCCAGGATTTTAAGTTACAGAAGATTCTACTAATCAAACAGTAGTTTAGAAGTGCAGTTTAGAATATTCCACAACTGACATACGATTTAAAACTGTTCAGGAGACAACAACGAAACATCAAAATAAAAAAAATTGTTAACATTTCCTAACATTTCTGGGAAAACATGAAATTTCTATTACACGTTGAAAAGAGAAACTGCAGGGTGTATATTTTGTGATGAGATTACTGTGTAGTGAATACTCCAAATAGCAAGTCATAAATACCAGAAAAAAGAAAATATATGGAAAACCATAATAGCTTACCGCAAGCCCAGACGTCTACCGCTTTACCATATGGTTCTTTACGCAAAACCTCTGGAGAAAGATAACCGGGAGTGCCAGCAAAACCTATAACATGGAAAGTGACACCAAATGTTTTAATTAATAAGACGGAAAAATATGAGTGGTGTTTGCTTTTAAAGCGTCGAAAACACTTTATAGTGGTCTATCATGCATTTTCTTCATTAACACCTCATTCAATTGTACGAGAACAGGAGAAATTAATTACTGATAAATGTAGGTGAACAATATCGACATTTCTCGAAATGATGCTGATAATTTATCACTGAAATAGTCGGAAATATTCTAAAAAAAGTAAAATGGCAAGAAGGGATGTGGCGTGGATTGCATGGAAGTTATGGACAAGAATTAAGTGATGAATTATTTTCTTCTAATCCAGTAAAAATACTATGAAGATTTGAATTGTTCCAAGCTTGGTGTTTCCAGAACAATGTTTTTTTAATTGATGGTAATACAATTCTTAATTCTTTTTGCTTTCGTAGATGAATCTGACCTTTATGTTGTTAAATGGTTAATTTCTTCAGGATTACTGCAGTTCGACAAGTATACAATTTTTTAATATGGCAGGACAGATGGTGGGTTGCTATCTTGGTTTAAAACTAATAAACAAAGTGTGATAACATTCTAAACAATAATAAAATCATAGCAATAAGAAATGCTGATTAACGTTAGCATACAAAACACCAAATAATAGGAAATGTGGCATAAGATTTTCTTGGTATTAAGTCTTTAACAGATAAAATAAACTTTATGATGGCGTTAACAGTTGTGGTGACCGTGTCTACTTGACGAGTAATTTTGTCAGGGGAGATATTACTATTCATTTGGAAAGCAGGTAAACATAATTTTCCAGAAAATAATTATCTTTAACACTTTTCAGGTTAAGATGGCAAGAGAAAAACCAAATAAGGCACTGTAAACTGAAACACTGAGTAAATTTTAATCCAACTACGTATGTATACTTAGATCTTAGTGAACGACTTAGTGATGATTTGGCTATGAAAACTGATTTAGGTGCAGAGAAGTCCGAACCTACAACTCATTGGTTGAGAGTTAGGTGTTTTGACTTCTAGATAATCACATTCAAACAGATAGGTGGGAAAATACTTAGTTGAGACTAATGTAGCAGCCATACATAAGATTTAAATACACGTTTCTACTTTCCATTTCATATCTGCATATTTTCAAGCATAGATCATTGCTCTCATACTGTTTTTAATAAACACTGGACGTCATACGTATATGTATTAATTTATATTCACTAAGTCGTTGGTCTATTAATTTCTTCCTCTCCTGCCATGTTCGCGACAACTGAAATTGTTTTTGTAACGTTACTTATAAAAGGTTCCGTTCACAAGTTGCTGACGACAACTTTCTCGCGAATTGAGTGATAACCATATCAACAGTTCGATGTTACATATCAGACCAGTTGAGTTCCTGAATATGAGTATGTTCATCAGGTCATGTAAGGTAAAGATGGAAAAGAGTTATGTAAATACACAACCATATTTTACACCAGTTAATAAAAGTGAATGATGACTAGTTGTATATCTGCACCAAATATACCTGAGAAGTATGTAAAAGTAACTTTCAAAAACGTTTTCCAACTGGTCCAAGAATACAACTCCACCTAGGGAAACAATTGTGCCCTTACTTCGGGAAACACCAGAATATTATGGGACTTTTAGCCATAGTTATGATTTAGAAATGCAAATGGTAACGACTTGGTTGGCACACGAATAATCCAAAAAAGAAAGTAGGCGTGATGTTTCCTGGATTTGACTCAACCTGAGCAGTAGTACGATAGAGATCAGAAGCCTGAATTCAACAAGCATAAAACACATGAAATCATTTATTGTACCTAACAACTACGATTTGGATATTACAGTATGCTGTAATGACAGTAGTACTATTTATCTATGAGTCTTAAATGTTTTACTAATTCTTTAATCTTGATATGTAACTGAGGTGTTTTTCCCGGGTATATTTTTCGAAGTCACTAGTCAGATTTCCTGATTTCTATATGAATACTTTCCAACACTCATTATTATCTGTACAGTCACACTGAATAGTCATTTGATTTATAAGTTGCCCAGGGTGACTGAATGAAGAGCTTATCTGATTAACGTCAATTCATACTTTAAGAAGACTTTTTAAAACATTTTTAGTTTTTCATATAAAAATGAAAAAAAGAATCGAATTTTGAAGTGACATTTGAGTACCAAGCCATATGTGTAACATAAAATAAGGTAATTGATCGCTTTTATTCAAATCCTTCGTATGAAAAGTTTTTATGGGTGTGAACCATGTGCTAGTGCAGTGTCGTTGAAATGTAGCCACAGTGTATATTTATTCGAAAAAAGTCACCGAAGATAATTTCTGATAAAGATGTTTTACGTCTTTCCAAAGAACACAAATGAATCTGTGAATTTGTTGATTTCCTTGCATTTCAGTAACAAAAATTGCATATATGATATTGTTGTCACTAGAGATGTGACAAAAATAACTGTGTAGTTAGGTTCCACTCGAACCATCCACCGATTTCGCTACGAGTTTCATAAACATCCGTGAAAACTCACCTTTGAGATCTGCTGATCCTTTATTTTTCATAAGGTTATCTAAAATATCGATTAACTAATATCCTTATAGTCAGTATGTAAAGGGATTAGACGGTCAACGATGTACAGAGGATACTTACACTTAGTTATTAGGGAAGTTAGTCAGCTACAACATAGGACCAGGCACATATATGCATCGGTCCAAGTTGCCATAGCTCATTAGCACAACAAGATGAACACCAAATTCATAGAAGCAGTTACTACAATGGTAGTAAAAAAATTTCATACAAGGGTATAATACAAGGAGAAAGAATTAGTTCGTAGAAAGAAAGGTAAAAAGTTATTTCAATCTCACGGTTTTGGGGAAGACAAAGAGTGTATACACCTACACTACTGTAATCGATTTTGTCCCATGTCACCCAGGGTTTTCAGCCACTGGTTACGACAGTCGCGTGGACCTCAACCAAGTAGTCTGCATCTAGAGGTCTTAAAAAATTTCGTACCGTCAATGTAGATCCACTGGTTCGTCGAATCTATTAAATCAGATATTTCTAAGTGGGCAGTAGTTGAGTAGTACTAGTATTTAACTAATTAAATCATATATTTAAGAGAAAACGATAGGTAATTAACAGTCAGGGAGAAAAAATTCTAACTAGACATGAAAATAAGAAGGTAAGGATCAGTGATCACTGTCGGGTCAAAAGCAAAGGTCAACTCCATCAGTGAATTATTAATAGATTTATCACATATACTCTTCAATAACGACTCATCGTCTATAAAGCATCGAGACGAATTTAGGAAAAGGTAAAAGAAAGAATTCTTCCATATAACAAATAGAAAAGCTACTTTGAGGTAGATCCCTCGTTGTTTTCAAGTTTATCATACAATTTACAATATTTATTTCAAAATACTAAATTTTAGAAAGCAAATAAGGCTAAGGTGGAAATTTATTTGTCTATCTTATAGAAAAATGCTAACTTTGTGATGTAGAACATAAATGAAAGCAAGAAAAATATTTAACATACTAAACAGAAACGACAAACCGACTCAGTTTACTATAAGGCATAGATAAAACTAATCATAACAATACTATCTGCAGCATCAATATGTCTCCATACACTTAAAAAATGAAATAAGTACCATTTATTCAATCACTTGAGTTGGATAATCAGTTCTCTTACTAAACATTAATTTTAAAAATATGAATTGAAATTTGGTTACTGTTAATGTATTTGCGTGAACTGAAGGAAAAATATGTCTTTTTGTAATGAAATACATAAGCATATTGGTTGAAAAATTTAACAAATGTATGTGTTTAGGAAAAACGTACCAAACCAAGCTGGTTGATCACCCTGAACTTCTATCGCCAGACCGAAATCCGCTAGTTTCACTGCAGCCCCCTTGGATTTACTAGCAAGCAACAAATTTTCTGGCTGTAAAACAAATTCAATTTTATGAAAAACCTACATGTGTTTGTTAAGTACAGGACAGCTGAAAGATTACTTAACAATAGTTTATTGCTATCAGTTGCAACAAATCTAATAAACGTTTTTAGTGGAACCTGTTGATGTTGTTACATACGTGCTAAAATGTCTTTCTACTATAAAAAAATGAACTTGGTTACAAGGCAAAGTGTTTTGAAGGTTACTTTTACATTATCCACAGAGTCCATTAAACGTTCTAACGACGTGGACAACAGAGTAAAACCTCTTCATGTTCTCTTATCTTCATTCCACTAAATGCTGTTGTCCGTGTATTGCTTTGTTTATTATTTAAGTCAGTTAAACTCAAGAGCATTAATCACATACACAATAATTACACACATAGAAATCGTTTTTGTACCTAGTGAGTCTCTTAAATATATGCATATAAATTAGAGGATGATAATAGTGATACAGATATCATAATTTGTTAGGATTGTGACGTGGGGCGAGGGATATCAGGTAGATGTTTCACTGCACTCATAACACAAAGAATAAATGATTAGAAAGTAATGTAAACGAAACCAGAAATCCGGCGAGATTATCATTTATGAACGCACCAATCAAATGTAAGATAACAAGTATTGGATTTTGGCGCGAACTCCATTCATCTATTCGATTAAATAGCATTTTGGCATGTTAGCTGATGTCAGTTCGTGATGAAAACCGTAAATCGAATTCCTAACCCTAACTATCCACTGTAAGTCATAATTCTAATTTTTTACACTGCTTTATAATAATTTATTTCTAGTAGCTGGACATTTTCAAAGTCACTTTAGAATCATTCAAAAGTCGTCCATAAAATTATTCTCACCGAAAACCCTTTGACAGATTACTTGGGATTTCGAATAAGATATGTTTGAGTTTATCTACCAAGTAAATATTTATATATATATATGCTACTCAGAATGTAGAACAAAAATGTAATAACAAAATAATCTGCTGTCATCCTGCGAACAAAAGATTAGCAAAACATGTCTCTTAGAGACTTTTAGGCAATATATATTTGTTAGGACCGGGTAGTAAAATTGTGACTGAATAGTGTGATTAGGAAAATATTCATCATAAAATTTCACATAAAACATGATAAAATATAATTATAATCATTTAAGATAAAAAATTATGACAAAAAATAAGTATAGAGACACCACCATAAAATAACACACTAAAACTTTTGATGGGCAATTTAGAGATCAAGTAGAAGTTTATTGGGTCAAAGGGAATGAATGCTTTTAAGAATATCGATGTCCACAACAAGTAACATAAGATCCGAAATCCAAGTAAGTGTGCAACGCGTGACTAATGATAATGAATGCTGAGTACAGTGATACACTGCGAAAACGTTACTACTAACCTTTAAATCTCGATGTACAATATTATTCTGATGACAATAATTCACACTTTCAATAATTTGCTGCATACAGTTACTGGAGGAAAAATAAGAAAGCGAGTCTTGGTTATTCGCAAGATTTAAAATTACGGTAATAATAACGGTAACAAAGTCAACAGAAGCTAAATGAAATTTATAAACTACGGTCTTATGACTACATTTGAATCAATCTAGTAAACCAACAGTAATAGTATGGGAAACAAAAACAGTTAAGGAGAATAACATACAAAAAGATACCTCTAAATTCACTACGTATTCATCTCAGTAAACACTAAAGAAACTAACCTAGCATCCGCTTCACTGTAGAATTCTCGAGCAACAATGTCCTCGAAGAGTTCACCACCAGTTACCCTAAAAAGAATAATTTTAATACTATTATATGATGAAAACAACATATAATTTAGAATATTAATAGGTTTATCATTATAGTGTAAATCTGATTAGTAGTGCCAGCAGTCAACTCCTAGGTCGTGAGTCTGAGCCTTGTCTTGCCTACACCGGTTTGAGCAGTCGGATGAGATCACTGGCTTTCCCACACATGCGAACAAAATCTTAAAGCTTAGAAGACGAAAAAGTAATTGATTATTGAACGGCAGCGACACACAAAAAATATAAAGGGAATACAGTTCATCCAGTTTCAAACAGTAAATTTTTAGCTTTGAAATAATTTAAAACCTAAGAATTCACTGCATCGGCTCACTCAGTAAATAAACTATATACAGAACACAGGTGTGAAATATGAGCGTGGAAGTGGAGGTTGGAGTATTTATGATAATACGTTGAGAAATCCGGTAATAAATGTGGGATCAAAACACGTCCGCTAGGATCAGTACACAAGAATTGTGATAGATGAGAACATAAGATACAATTTGGCACTCAGTAATAATTAGTAAATGCACTTTTTCATTTTTAGTTAACAATTCTTATCCATGCTGTGAAATTCTTCCTGAGACAGCAAATATATAGAGCCCACGTTTTGGATATCCTTGTGATTTCATTACTCTGCCAGCTTTAGTCTATACAAAAAATACCGACATAGGTCTGGCTACTTTGAATGCGTCTACCGTTTGTCTTTATGTGCAGAGAAGTGATAAGTACGAATGATTATTGTATGAGTTTAACTGTGTGAGCGTTGCATATGGATAACAAGTCTGGTGTTAGTCCATTAACGGAGCACGAATGCCACAAACAACAATTATTATCCAAACACAAGATCCCTAATTTTTCACTCTTTCCACTATGACATGGGCAAACTTCAACTAAGAGTTAGCTGTCAGGATGTCACTTCCATCGAAAGGAACAAACATAGTGCACTGACTTTACGAACGTCACTGATTCTAAGCTAACTCAGAAGATATCCTGTATACATACCTGCGCTACATTTCGAATAATAACATGCAACACATGAGATGTTAGCAATAGTAGTCTATTTGTTACCACAAGATCACTACCGATTTCCTTTGTGAGAAGATACAGCAAATATTAGTTACTTCTTGGAAGCTATGTCAATCCACTCGCCAAAATGGTTGGATCCATGATCACTCGTGACTCCAAACTTACGTTGTAATCCTTATTGCGTAATGAACTTGGGGGGGGGTGCAGCTGTTTACTGTTAATCAAATGAAAATTATTGTCAATATGAATTGGGTTGTCACTGATTGAGTGTCTGTGAGGGTTGTTATGTTAAAGAACGTCAAGCTGCGAATTCCGAAAACTCAAGTAAAGGAACTAAAACAGAGAATCCATGGGCAGCTACATCTTGTAAACACAAAAGTCGTTCTTCCATACCTTCACGTTATGCGTCAAGGTAGCAGGAAATCAGATGCTCAACATGTCTTCTTGATGCATATATATATATATATATATATATATATATATATATATAAAACATAAAAATCACTTGTTTTTCGGATCACATTTAATACTAGTAACCGATTTGAAGATACAAAACTCACAAATCAAATACGAGGTAGTGAAACCCTTCGTCCTGAATGTCATCGTATAGGCGAACTAAAAAAATGAAGAATGATTATAAAATACCAACCCAAGAGATAGATAGGAAGTACACGTACACACATGATAAATAGGGATGTGGCTTTGTGGTAAAACCATGTTAATGTCAACCAATAACTTGCAGCTTTAGACTAGAACTTTGCCTGTCTCACTTTATGAAGCAATTTAGCATCAATAGCTCTTACACAAAACGTGTGGCTAAAAGTCATACTTTGAGAATGAGTTACATATGTTTATCCTTCGACATTGAGCGTTCTAAACTACAAATGCCAATAATTAAGTTGAGTAATGTACTCGTCATTCGGTAATTTAAAAGTGATAGAATCTGACATGCTATTCCATCCAACCGAGAATGATGGTTACTTGTTGTCAGTACCCCCTCTTTCTTATCTAATACTGACATCGTTCACAGGTTGACCAAATACGTAGTCGGGTGAACTTATTATTTGCCAGTTCTGAGGAGTCAGTGACTGACAAGTTTCCCTAAGGATTAAAATCACTCGGTTCAGTTTTTTTACTGAACCAACCGATAATGGTGCGATACGTGGGTATACACAAAAGAGCGAATCTGGAACTTGATAGTCCATTAAACATCATCTTAGGACTATTAAATGGTTACCGAAAACGAATGACATTCTAAAAGTATTTTCGAAGCATTTTTTATGTGTGTTGGAGCTATCAAGTAAATGATGTTGATGCTAGGTGTAGTGTTTTGCACAAGTGAAGTAGGTCGAGTGATAAAGTTGTGAACCTTCATCAATTAGGACGTGTGACGTAGACCTAATCACGACCTACCTTAACCAAGTCGACTAGCGGGTATGTTAGAAGAGGTTAACGTGACCAACTCAAAACATGGAATTAGATTATAGATGTATTTCTCCTAAACCTGTGGTGTACAGGTGGATATAGCCTTCTTTGTTATAGTTCAAGAAACGATCGTTATAGGTGGCTCGAAACTAGGTGGTATGATTTGAAGCTGATTACGGTGGTAAGGAGGTCTACAACATATCTCCGCCTCTTTTGCCTTGAACAACCTTTGTCTTTTATGTACTTTACCTCCTTATTTTACGACCGTTGTTAGCACACTTATTTCCATATCTTGACACAACCTGTTGAACTTTCTTGGATTGATAGCGTGAACTGAGATAACACGTTAGGACCAGCTCCTAGTTTACCAGCCACTGAACTATTTGGTATCCAATTAACTAAGACCATTCAAACTCCCAGAAGCTACGACTTGAAGTGCTGATTAGAAAATCCCCAGTGAGCAATGATAGGCTGAACAATAAGACCCTAACGAACATCTGACTTGAAAATCCCTTTTTTCTAGCCTTCTAAAAAAATGCATGTCTGTGGTTGAGCTTTTTTAGATTTCATTTACTTAAAATAGGTTAGTGACAGATTACTTTAGGTGATAATATGGAACGGTTCGGATAGATTGACCACTGTAGCTAGATTATATTTCTTAATTCTGTTTTATTTCGACAGTTAGTAAGATGTTTGGTCATGTGATAACATGTATACAAAACTAGATTTCGCCACGATTGAAAATAAGTAGGGATATTTTTAAATGCAGTACCAGTTCAAAAGTTAGTATTTTGGTGTTAGAAGTTATGGAGTTTGGGAAGTTTTAGTGATAGTGACGCTTCTATACTTCATACTTCATTGATATTGAGTCATAGATTTTTGACTTACACAAAATTAGTGGAAAATCATCATAACCATAATTTCAGGAAGCAATTACGAATCTGAGATATTGGACGAGAACTTGGTCCATCAATAAGTATTTCACTTATTTGAAGGACATAGAAGTAAAAGTAGAAGCACAACACACTTTGTTTCACAAATCGTTTGCATACTTATTTATTTGAACAGATAATTATTGGTACAAAGGGGCACCGAATACATATGCGCCACACAATTCACTTGATTTGTGTGCGGGCTATGATACTGCTCGGGTGTGGAAATTCGCATACTTAAACACTGAAAGGACGGACAGAAGTACTGGATTCATCTAAGGAATACATCCAAATAGTGAACTAGTATAACAAGCTATAAAATGAGAATATCGGACTCGAAGACTTCAATCGAAACGACCGGTTTTGATGGAACCCTTTAAAACTATTATTTCTTAAAATGTTAGCGAACATGCAAACACGCTTACTCTAGGTGACATTTTCGAGAAGCAAACATAGCTTTTAAGCAAAAGATAGGTAACACTTACCTATGTTAGGGTGCTTCAGAAGCCTGCATATTCTGGCCTCGCGTTCCAACTTCTGCATGTCTGCAAACAAGATGTTGCTGTAGGTTATTTGTATGTTAAAACAAGTATGTAGGATGCTTATGAAAACATGAAACATTTTCTTGAAATTAGGTACACAAAAATTACGCTTGCAAAACGCCAAGCCACTTGGATGAGTATTTTGCGTCATTGGTCAAATAACCTAGGTCAAAAGTGTGTATGGTCTTAAGTCACATTAATAGGCTCATCCCCAACATGAATTTAAGCAAAAATATGACAATTATGAGATGGAGTTCTTAACAAATAGGCTAGTATTTCGTTAGTCTCTAGAAGAAAAATAATGATATTTAGAGGAATTAACGTTAGGGTCAGGATGGCTTATATATATCAAGCGATTTACTGTCTGACAACCTAAACTAAGACCACTTGTCCATACCAGACATTGAAGCAGATGTAACAAGTTGCGTCACAACTTAGATCTCAAGTTCCTGAACCTCCTAGAAATTTCTCTTTTACTGATTCATATTTTCTAGAACCATATCTTAGATGCCTAGTCTTTTTTATCCCCACCAGTAATCATTACCCGTACCATTCTAGGGATTCACCCTATTTCATCTTCCTATGCTAATCGAGTATGAAAAGTTGGAATAATGTACTTATGTGCCTGGTTTCACGTTGCATTTAGCCCACCGACTGGTAGTACTTAGAGTTACTATGACAATTGGTCAGTGCAGCATGTGCAAAGCCGAACATCACATAGCAAGGACAGGCAAGACCTAAATTAACTGTCATTCAAAATAAGAGCTATAGTGGGATTACTTAAAACACAAGTTTCGGGCATTTACTGTAAATAATTTGTATTCATAAGCATTCTGAGAAGTCAACTATAGCTTATATTATAGATTGCAGAACTAGAGGGGTAGAGATGCAAGCGGTTGACTTAGATATATAGGAGCATAATCACACGCACCCCTAATACAAATATTTTCCATCCCATTAAGGTAGTCACTATACTGAACATTGGACATAAACAATGGAATTAGTAAATCCTGAGGGAATAAACTAACAAATTTCATAGCTCATGAAAAGTCCGAGGAAACCAATTAAAACCCAACAATCAAAAACCTACCTCTGGTTGACAGACGTTTTGTATTTATGATCTTAGCGGCAAATTCTAAACCTGTTGAGAGCTGAATGCATTTTCGAACAATTGAGAATGCCCCACTGAATACAGAAAAACTTATCGTTATGATGTGATCAACGGACATTAAGTAAGACAAACTAACTGAATTTATTTCGAGACTTACCGCCCTACTTCTTCTTTCAAACTATACAAATCAGAAAACTTCGGGAGAACAGTAGCCATCTTCAGAGAATTGATCAAAAACGCCTCCCAATTATAGTCCAAACAAACAAGATCCAAGACCGAACATACGGTTTCAATGTTATATACCAATTACTTTCGCTTTATTGTGATACTAGGAAGTTCAAAATGGAAGAAGTAACACTGCCATACTTATGCGTCATCAACAACGGCTTAAGAGTACGAATTTCGGTGTTCATTATGTAAAGATTTGAAAAATTGTGACTAGGCTTCAAAAGTTATTAGCACGTTTAAGTTTAATTTAAAATTAAGACATAGGCTCGATTGGCGATGTGGCGTTAGCAACTCTACAGAATAACTAGTTTAGTAGATCTTCAACACTAGTCCTACTGAACACACCACAGGCTGAAGGCTCTCGGTCAAACACTTGTATCAAATGGCGATTGAGTAAACCGTACTTTGCTTTTTCACGGCATATAGCGAATGCGGTTCAAAGCATCAATCACTACTCAAATACATCGCCCAACCCTTCATTATCGACTTTTGGTCTTACTATTTTAAGGGAAGCTTGTGTAAGGGGAAGGATCACACAATGGTCCAAGGAAGCACTTTATATCAGTAATATCCTTTGGAGTCTAACTTAAAGGTGTTTATAAGGGTGCTGTCATTGGTTTAATTTTGCATCTATACAAGGGGTCAAATATTCCTCTTCAACTGGGTTCATTTTCCCGGACAGTATTGCTTCGATGGTTCCTTTCCTGTATGTTTTTTCCATGAAACAAATTATTATTTTCAGAGAGGTGAACCAACAGTGAGTAGGAGATTAGTCAAACTTTTGGGCACGAGTTGTTGTTTTGAAAATTTCATAACAAACGACATCCCAATTGATTGACAAAGACTATCATAATAACGAGATCCTGATAAGTTTGTATTTTCAGACACTCAGATTTCAAAGTATTAATTATTGGGTTTGAAATTGTAAATGTAGCTGTCGTATCGGTTCCCTTGATTTATTTGACTGGACAAAAGATTGGGGTGGTGACAATCACCATTTATTTTCAAATAATGATAAACTAAGTGAGGCATGCCAATTCATGAGCGAAACCAAACTGACAGAAGTGTTACAGAATTTACGGCAGTAAACTGGGTTATTTAATTTAGGTATAATGAATGTTTTTCTATAGAAACAAAATAACAGTCGTTGATGCGTAAAAATACAGTAAATGGAATTAAACCTGGGATAGAAGGAGTGAACGACGTATATGAGCCTGTACAACGAAAAACTGATGGCTTAAAATGATATGCGAAAGATAAAGTGCTGTTTACGATTGAAATCACAGTTTTTAGTATATATCTTGGAGTCGTTTTACTAGTTTTCAGATAACTGCTGTGACAGGCTTCTAGTAAAGAGACCTGTTTTGGAAGTATGAAGGAAGGCATATGATGGAGTCTTAATATTTCGATATGTATTTTCTGTGTTGTACCACGATATGTATTAAAAATTGACAAAGACAGTTTGAGAATTGAATCCTTAGGTTTCGATCCGCATCATTTCAACAGAAATATTTTTGCCGCATCTATTGAAGTAGTGTCGAGTATGGCTGATACTGTTACGTGTAAAGCTTCTCGAGGAAAAAATAGGTACGATAACTTGGCGGTCGTAGTAATTATGAAGTTCAAACAGGGTAATGCTTGGTGTTTAGATAATGAGTAGCTTCCCAAACTTCAACCAATCTCAGAAGGCTGAGACCATCCAGCTTGTAGACTATCAAGGTCTGTCATCTATCTAATTGACTAAAAAACAAAGTAGAACCTATGTAACATTCCTCATCTATTTCATTTTCTTTCCATTCATCCTAATATTTGAAGATTGCTTATGTTCATATTTGTGATTATTATTTTTATTATTATCATAGCTGGTCTCTCGAGAAATAAGATACTCTTTTCGTCCCTTCTTTTCACTCAAAAGTCATTGCACTCCTAAACATCCAAAACCTATAACTAAAGGCAGATTGCTTCGTGATACACTCAAATAAATTTTCAGATTCATTTTATCTTCACCACACACATATAACATATAGAAACTGATATTTATTTATCCTTTGCAATTAATTGCGACTTCCAAAACATCATTCTAAATTATGGCACAAAAGTTCGTACGAACATCGGGTTTGGCCCTGAGTCCTAATACATAAGTTTACATGTATTTACCCGAATGCAATAAAAAAATAAAATTTATTGTTTTAATTCAGATGTCAATATTCATTATACTCTTGTTATCATAGTTGAACCCCTGCCACTAGCTGTTCACTTCTTTGCTATTTCATTCTTTTCCTTCTAAATAAATGTTATCCTTAGGCGTCCAAAAATTCCAATTAAGACAATATCTTGTGCACACTTAAATAAACTAACTTTCAGATTCATCATGACTCATACATACTGACATTTAATTATCCTTCGCAGTTAACTGAAACTTTTATAGCACCACTCTAAACTGTTACTGCACAAACACTTATTCTGCCATCAAACCTCACTGCAATAATGGTTTATTTCCTTATTCATTTTTTCTTTTTATATTCATCTGGTGATATATGCATAATCATTTATTCATATTCCGTGTTCACAAACACGCTTATTAAACTATTTACGTATTTCGCGTTTCTTTGGTCTCTATTCTCTTATTTTCTCGCTTTCCTTCTTCGAAATCAACTCAATGCTCCTCTCAGTTACAAAGAACCTTTTTTAAATATGGCAAATATTATGCTAACATTATTGTAACTTATTACTGCATTTCTGAAGAGGCCAAAAACAGTTTATTTATGGCACTTATATACCCACAAGCTGTTAGTGAATAATAATTTGGTGTGTATTTGTTTATTTACATAGCCTGTAAACCAACGATCTAAGTTGAGTATTGTAAATAATACAAGTACAATATTAACCATCATTTTACGAGATGACTAGTAGCCTTATATTAATGCTTTGGAGTTTATCGAGTTATTTATCACCTTAAGAGTGCCAAGTATATTACCAAAAGCGCTAGACTTTGAATATGTTGTCAGCTCATCCAGTTCCTTAGAATGGTTTAGATGTCTACTTAGTGATTCCTATTGAATTTTTCCCAAATTCTGGCTGGTAGCTTATTCCAAAAGGCAGAAAACGTTTGTGGGAAGACAAGTTGGCGCTTGCTAAACCGACGCGTTCATTTATTTGTCTTCATTGGTCCTGCTAAAGTTAGTTTGTTCGTTGTTCTCGGGTCTTTTGTGTTCCCAGAGAATGAGGAGATGCTTCACAGGGTAAAGTCCTTTTTGCTGCTATAATTAACTGCTGAACATTTTCAGAGGTTTTGTACCACTGATTCAAGCTTCATTCAAACATCGTTGCTTGGGTCTTGTATGATAAGTTCCATGTCATGTAATTTGATTGTATTGGTATCTTCTTACGTATCTTGTAAATTGATCATTTCTAACTTACGACATCTCTGAAAATCAATTTGTTGATTGATTGCAGTTTAAACTTTACAAATGGTCTGGCTTTTCAGTCATTTCACTTGCTGTTGGCCTTATCCTTCTAAAAGGAATGACAGTGATTCTACGGGACGGTTGAATTCTGTAAATTGGCTCTTAGGTTACAATGTCTGGATTCACAAATGGATGTTGGCGTTCGGTTTAATATGAATGTTGATTAATAACACTGATGATCTGCTTACTATTATGCCTGATAAAGGCGATATAGGGGATAAACAAACTACCCCACATTGTCAAAATGGATCAGCACTTGAGTTTCCGAGGCATATTCCCAAGACTCTTTCCATGATTCAGCTGACTTTCCCAGTTTTACTGGAGAAGTGGACATGGTATTATCTAGTGATAATGTACCTGATGGTACTAAGTTTAACTATCCAGTTAGACGGTGTACTACTGCAGTTGGAAGTGTCATACGGGCTGAAACGTTTCAGTGCCAATCAAATTGCAGGTGAAAAATCTGGTAACAGAGGTTCGAAAAAAATTTCACGAACATCAAAAACACGTAACTTGTTCATGAGGCCGTCAAACGTGAGGTGGAGCTTTGTGCACGACAAATTGAGTTTTGTTATGGAAAAGGCTACTAAGCCGATTATTCGAAGAGAGCTTGTACAGAAGCTATCGTCTAGGTTCCATAACTAGGAATAGCAGCTTCTTGTACGTTTTCGTCTGGCTGATGCCAAGAGATTTCTATGAAAATATTGAGCTGGGACAAGTTGGTTGGTGGACTGTTGAGTTTCGCCTGGTATAATGGATATGTGGAATTATGGTCTATTATGATATTAGTACTGCTCTAATAATAGACCTAATCCTAAATTTGTATATTTGTCATGATATAACTGCCTAATCTATAAGATCTTACGTGGAAGTCACACCATCGACTACACCAACTCACTGTATCGTATCAATTACCAATACATGATGTAGAACGACGTTAGGCTAGAGAAGGAACAATATATTTAACATGAATAGAAGATATAAGGTAACATTTAGATGGACCACGCCTGCATGGCCGAGCCATGCCATCCGATCAAATCCAGTCCATTCAATTCATTGTTCGCGCCTTCTCCATTGTTAGGTATTTCTCCGCGTTAAATATTGAATATCTATTTTCTGAGTAGTCTCGTGTTCACAGCTTTGTGGATTGTGTGGCTATTGTCCAATGCCACTACACTACTCTCCCACCAGAATCAACGTGATGTTGGTTCGATACCAAATTGGATGGGATCGTCGTGCGCCGGAGGTTACCAAGGATAATAAGAATCCTCCGTGTATTGGTAAGCTGAAAGATAAATCAAAAAGAAAGCGGCAGCATCTGGTCGGGAAATACATGTAATAATTTTAAAATATCTGCCTTCATGCTTAAAACGCTTGAAATGAAAATTTGGGTGAAGATTATTTGAACTATAAAGAATGGCATACAATAATAATAATAAAACGATGCGTGCTAATAGCCGTTGGTTAATAACTTAACGTATAGGTAGTAAGTATTTTGTGTTTAGAAGTATTAAAGTAATG